GAAGGGGGAGAGAGAGAGAGAAAGAGAGAGAGAGGAAAAAAAAACATCAGTGAGGAGAGAGAATCATTGATCAGCTGCCTCCTGCACGCCCCACACTGGGGATGGAGCCCGCAACTCGGGCGTGTGCCCCGACTGGGAATCGAACTGTGATTTCCTGGTTCATGGGTTGATACTCAACCTCCGGGCCACGCCGGCCGGGTAAGAATCATTTCTTTCCCTCACGTACAAGAAGTCTAGAGATGAGCAGGTGAGCAGTCCAGGGCTGACAGCCCCATGTAGTAGTTAGGGATCTAGTTCCCGTCTCTTCCAACCTTAGTGCGTGGCCTTGGTCCTCTGTCCAACAGGGCAGCCAGAGATCCAGACATCACATCTGGAGTCAGAGAGCAAGACGGAGGACGAGGGGACAAGGGGGCAAAGACCATGTACGGCCTTTAGAAGGTCTCCCCTTTGTCACCTGACCGTTCCCCTTAGGTCTCCTTGACCAGAACTTTAGCAAGTGGCTACGCTGGCTGCAAGGGGGGGAGGGGGGAACAGCTTTTGTCTGTTACAGCCCCAAGTAACCACTATTCGGGCTCTTCACCATAGATTTATGTCACTTGTTCTAGAACTTTATACAAACATCACCACGCAAAACAGTCTCTTGTCTCTGGTTTATTTGGTTCAACATTATGTTCATAAATTCCTGAGGTTTTTTTCTTTTTCTTTTATCTCCCTCCATCCAGAAGGAGCCATTCACCAACACTCAGTCTTTGCTGATTTCCTTTCATCATGGAGTCACTCATTCAACAAATATTTCTCGAGCCCCTATTGTGTGGGGAGAGCTGACCTCACACAGCCGCCCATGGCAAAGACCAAAGACGGATGAATTCTGAGTCTCCCAGGCTCTTTTCTGAACCCCAAACCTTTTGACAACAGCCCTCTTCTGAACTCCCCCTGCCCCAGGTAGGACCCCTCGTGTACAGAGGCCATATGCCCAGTGATGAGGAGCTCTGGCTCTGGCAGCCACAGATGGGCTCTAAGTAGATGCTTAATAAACAGTGACTGTGGCCTGGCCGGCGTGGCTCAGTGGCTGAGCATCAACTTATGAACCGGGAGGTCACGGTTCGATTCCCAGTCAGGGCATGTGCCCTGGGCTGGGGGCTCCATCCCCAGTGTGGGGTGTGTAGGAGACAGCTGATCAATGATTCTCTCCCATCATTGATGTTTCTATCTCTCCCTCTTCCTTCCTCCCTGAAATCAATAAAAAATATATTTAAAAAAACCAACAAAACAGTGACTGTGACTACTTCATTGGCGTGGGAGCATCGTAAGGAGCAGAGCCCGCTTTTCGAATCCTTTGCTGGCCCTCTAAGGTAGTACCATTATAATCTGCATTGACTAATGAGGAAAGGATGCTCAGAGAGGTAAGGTAACTCTCCAGAGGTTGCACAGCAGGTGAGTGGCTGAGGCGCGGGATTCAAACCTCGTCCTCTTGAGTATCGAGTTTGAACTTCCATCTCCGCTCTGTGGAGTCAGCTCACTCCCCCTCGCCTTTCTTTCAGCCTTGACCCACTCAAGGAAGAGCCCAGAACCGCCAGGGACAAAGGCCGTGCACTTTGCCATTTCTAGTTGTCTTTCTCCCACTTTGCGATCTAACCCAAGAGGTTTTCCTGGCTTTGGATCTTGTCTGTTTCAACTTAAAATGATGGCCCTAACCGGTTTGGCTCAGTGGATAGAGCGTCAGCCTGTGGACTGAAGGGTCCCAGGTTCGATTCCCATCAAGGGCATGTACCTTGGTTGCGGGCACATCCCCAGTAGGGGATGTGCAGGAGGCAGCTGATGGATGTTTCTCTGTCATTTTCCTAAAGGATGGGCATGCGATTACACATCTGGGCCAGTTGTTACCAGCGCCCTGACTCACCCAGCTCATTCCTGTGAGTGAATGAGCCTTTTATTCTAACTGCTGGCTTTTCAAGGGCCCATACATCTGTTTTTCTGGCCACGAGAAATCTATTAGAGAGGGGGGAAATGTGGTTCAAAGAAATAGTTAAGTTTTCTCCATGGGAGCAAATTTTCCAGGGAAGAAAACACGTGGACCTTCTGATATAATGGAGTGACTTTCAAAAAATATTTGTTTCAGCACATGAACCCTTTTTCAGAGGCTGCTGAAGCGACAGCTCAGTGTACAGACGGTAGAAGTGGAACTTGTGGCCCTTAGCCAGTTTTGCTCAGTGGATAGAGCGACGGGACGGCCCCTTGGACTGAAGGGTCCCGGGTTCAATTCCGGTCAAGGGCACGGGCCGGTTGCAGGCGCATTGGGGAGGCAACCAATTGATGTGTCTCTCTCACGTCAATGTTTCGCTCTGTCTCCCCTCCCTCCTTTCCACTCTCTCTAAAAATCAGTGGAAAAAATATCCTGGGGGAAGGATTAACAAAACAAAACAAAAAAAGTAGGAGGAGGAGGAGTGGCGTTGCCGCGTGAAGCCACCCACTTCCCTATGAAATCTGCCACGGGCTGTGGAACCCAGTTTGAGAACCTCTGCCTGTGGAACCCAGTTTGAGAACCTCTGCCTGTGGAACCCAGTTTGAGAACCTCTGCCTGTGGAACCCAGTTTGAGAACCTCTGCCTGTGGAACCCAGTTTGAGAACCTCTGCCTGTGGAACCCAGTTTGAGAACCTCTGCCTGTGGAACCCAGTTTGAGAACCTCTGCCTGTGGAACCCAGTTTGAGAACCTCTGCCGGCGCCCTGACCCGGGGATCGGAACCGGGGCCTGAGCCCAGGGCCGTCCTTTCCTGGTGGGAGGCCTTGGGAAAGGGAACGGACTTCTCTGGGAAAAGGCACGATTGTCCTAAATATTTCCGAAACGTTGTTCCAGGTCTGAGAATCTGTGTGACTGGGGACCATTCGGTCTGAAGTGAACGGTTAGAAATACAGACTTTTTGAAAAAAAGAAACAGAATTCTCTTGTTTGAGGAGATCCAGTAACCAGCGAACTGCTATCAAAGTGTGTTCCAGCCACCTGGTCCCCCGTCACAAGGGCCTTCCGGGACCCCTCGCAGGGACTCCGGCCGGGCCACTGCTCTCCGGTCTCCTTCTCAATCCCAGCATCACAGTCCCAGCAGGAAAGAGATGAGACGCGCACACGATTTTCTGGAAGGACTTTGGGAAAGGGACCAGGGAGGTGGGACCCGGAAGCAGACCATCCACGGTCTCAAGGGGGTGGGGCCACGTGAACAGTCGGGTGTGGGCACGTGAACAAGGCGGGGCACGTGGACAAGCGGAAGTGAGCACGTGAACAAGGGGGCGGGGCACATGAACAAGGGGGTGGGGCCACATGGACAACCGGAAGTGAGCACATAAAAAGGCGGCGGGCCACGTGGACAACCGGAAGTGAACACATGAGCAAGGGGTGGGGCATGTGGACAAGGGAGTGGGGCCACGTGGACAGCCGTAAGTGAGCACAGGAACAAGGGGGCAGGGCCACGTGATCATGGGAGAGTGGGCATGTGAGGACGGAGGAGGGGCCATGTAAAGATTGAAATGATGTGGCCAGGAGCCCCCAGAAGCTAGAGGCAGGGAAGACCCCCCTCCGGAGCCCTTCAAGGAAGCACAGCCCGGGACACCCTGATTTCAGGCTCCGGCCCCAGAACGGGGAGAGCACGTGTCCCCGTTGGTTAGCACTTAACAAGGGGGCGGGGCACGCGAGCAAGGGGGTGGGGCCACATGGACAACCGGAAGTGATCACGTAACAAGGGGGCGTGAGCATGGGACAAGGGGCGAGGCCACGTGGACAAGGGGGCGTGAGCACGTGGACAAGGGGGCGTGAGCACGTGAACAAGGGGGCGCCACGTGGACAACCAGAAATGAGCACATGAACAAGGGTCTGGGCACGTGGACAAGGGGGTGGGGCCATGTGGACAACCGGAAGTGAGCACAAGAACAAGGGGCATGGAGCACGTGGACAAGGGGGTGGGGCCACATGGACAACCGGAAGTGAGCACATAACAAGGGTGTGGGCCACATGGACAACTAGAAATGAGCACATGAACAAGGGGGCAGGGCACGTGGACAAGGGGGTGGGGCCACGTGATCACGGGAGAGTGGGCATGTGAGGACGGAAAAGGGGCCATGTAAAGATTGAAATGATGCGGCCAGGAGCCCCCAGAAGCTAGAGGCAGGGAAGACCCTCCTCCGGAGCCCTTCAAGGAAGCACAGCCCCGGACACCCTGATTTCAGGCTCCGGCCCCAGAACGGGGAGAGCGCGTGTCCCCGTTGGTTGAGGCCAGTCTGTAGTTATCGGAGCAGCAGCCTCAGGAAATAGACCCCTCCTTGCCCCTCCTTTTGGGGCTTTGACCGGGTTCTGGGAACAGCTGATCCCTGTGCCCCAGCAGGGGGACCCCCTAGACCTCACACTGCGGGGCTCACAGGGTGGTCCATCCCTGTGTCTGTGCCTTAACCTGAAACAAATGGGAACCACCTGCTTGGGGAGGTGGTGCGTGTTGGGACCAGAGTCCCTTCCCCCTGCAGCTCCCGGGGGCTGACAGTCACTAACTGGTAGGAAGGGCTCCCATATTTTCAGAACGGCGCGTTCATGCCAGTGTGGCTGGGCCAACACATTCAACTTTCGTAGCAGAAAGTCAGTCTGTACAAACAAAAATGAAAATATGTCCTTGGAAAAAATCATGACTTCAACCTTTAATGTTCTCACAGTTGTTGTTTTTTTAACCTTGAAGGGATATTTTAGGGGAAGTATCTCTTGTCTAGAGGAAATATTTATATGAATTCAGCAATTCCATCAACTTTTCTTTCTTTTGTGAAATTCAAGTAAAATTAAATTGTATGTGAAATATGATTGTCATGGTTTAATAAAAGTATCTCTGCCCATCTGTTCCTTACCCAGGCTTCTCTTTTTCATATTTGCATATTAAGTTGTCCAAAATGATGTTCACCAAATGTGATTGGTTATTCTGGCTGGTCGGTTGGAGTTTTTTTTTTTACTTCCATCTTTGGGATTTCAACGTGTAAAAAACAAATAAATAAATAAAAATAAAAGTGTTTTCCAAGTAGAAGTGCTGTGGCTCTTCCTGCAGGAATGGATAGAAAATGACCAATAGTTTCATTTGCTTCATTATTAGAAAGTAGGTTAAGTCAAATCACTATGCTGTACGCCTTGAACTTGTACAGGGCTCTCTGTCAATTATCTCAACAAAATTGGGAAAAATAGCCCTAACCAGTTTGGCTCAGTGGATGGAGCGTCGGCCTGCGGACTCAAGGGTCCCAGGTTCGATTCCGGTCAAGGGCATGTACTTTGGTTGCAGGCACATCCCCAGTAGGGGGTGTGCAGAAGGCAGCTGATCAATGTTTCTCTCTCATCAATGTTTCTAACTCTCTATCCCTCTCCCTTCCTCTCTGTAAAAAATCAATAAAATATATTTTTTTAAAAATGGGAAACATATTAAAATCTAAAAAAAAAAATTACCCAAGAAATATCACTCCATAAATCAATGCAAAATGAATGCATCAGTAACCCTCCCGTCATGCTCAGTATATGAAACATAGTAATGAGAAGTACTTGTTAATGAAAAAAACTGAACATTGCTATTGACTGTTTCTATATTTTTATTTATTTATTTATTTAAATATATGTTTTGCCCTAGCCGGTTTGGCTCAGTGGATGGAGCGTCGGCCTGCGGACTGAAAGGTCCCAGGTTCGATTCCAGTCAAAGGCATGTACCTTGGTTGCGGGCACATCCCCAGTAGGAGTAGTGCAGGAGGCAGCTGGTCGATGTTTCTCTCTCATCGATGTTTCTAGCTCTCTATCCCTCTCCCGTCCTCTCTGTAAAAAATCAATAAAATATATATTAAAATATATGTTTTATTGATTTCAGAGAGGAAGGGAGAAGGAGAGAGAGAGAAACATCAATGATGAAAGAGAATCATGGATTGGCTGCCTCCTGCACGCCCCACCCTGGGGATTGAGCCCCCAACCTGGGCATGTGCCCTGACCGGGAATCAAACTGTGACCCTCTGGATCATAGGTCAACGCTCAACCACTGAGCCACGCCAGCCGGGTTGTTTTTAAAA